CAAGTAGTTAAAATGAGTTATACGGTTATTAGAGGAAAAAAATTCATCCGGCCCCCAAATTGTCAGTAAGGTTAAAATATTTGCAAAAACAAACAGTACTACTATTATATTGAAAGAAAATTCATAGCATTTCACTCCAAATCTGGGTCAATATAGTTACATTATAGCTTGACAACGCGGACTTGTATTTAGACCTATTAATAGTGTCTCGAGATATACGGAGCTGAAAAGAAAGAACTAAATTTTAAAACCAATACTTTCAACAGCGCAGGTTGATGGATTAACTATGACTAACTAAATAGTTAACATCAATTTTTGGAATGTCTACTGAGTACTTGTATATAAAGTGCTCAGTAGCCCACATTTCTTCATCCATGCAGCTTTTGTAGTGCTAGAACATTAATTCAAATAAACTAAATATGTAAGATTTGATTGTAATGAAGCTTAAATGACATTCTCTCTAAACTGATGATAATTCTCTAATTAAATATTTAACGACTTGGATCATTCGTACATATAGTATCTTTGGTTGGAATATTTATTTCAAATCAAATCAATAAAATATAGCATATTGAGATTAAATTATATTTTCAGATCTCACCAACTAATTCGATTAAAATACTTTAACAATGAAATGTTTTTAAATAACATTTATCTGAACCAATAGAATATATAGTAGATATCCTACAGCTGTAGAAATCGACTACATTTATAGTGATAAAATATAGTTAACATATTAATACTTAAACATAAATGTTAGCCTCAGCTTATTATTGTATATACATAGATGGGTTTAAACCAACAACTCATATAGTACCTATAGCCAAATTTTTAAAACCAATTGTTATAACTGGATAAAAGTATATATCTATATCTGAACCAATCGAAAAAAATTTAACATGTACAATATCTTATTTACATTCTTCACGGATATAATTTTTATAATAATTTCGGTTGCATTCAAGATCCGTCTTTATAAAATATATGAACAAAATTAATTCTTAGAGTTATATTTGTAAAGGAACTTTAAAACTCGATTTGGGTTGCGAAGAGTAATGCGTAATGAATGCAAAGAGTAACGCATGAGAATGGTATGAAAAAAATTTATTTGAATCCTAAATTTCTATGTGAAATAGGATGGGAATATGAAAGAAATCTGAATTTTTAAAAAAACAGCCTGAACATAAAACTTCCTCTAACAGATCAGTTAACTTAAATTGTATATGTTATTATTACTGTTATAATTGGAGAAATAGTGACATATCGGTGCCTGCAAAATTTGCTATGTGTTTAGAACACTATCATCGGTCCTAATTTCAATTTTACCAATTTTTGTAGAGATCCATTTATTTTATCTTTTATTAGAAAAATAACAGATCACACGTATTATAAATGAAAGACAAATAAATTTAGTCTGGGACCGTAGTGTGAACAAAGATTCATTTTAAGGAGGTTTTTCTCAATGACAATGTAAAAATATTTTATTAAAATATATATATATATATCCAAATTTTTATTGCTGAAGTAGAGTTCAAATCCCTTATAGATACCACTCGTCGGATAATTTACTATAAAGCATGAATGGCTAAAACCCTTTCGAATGAAGTGACTCCAATAAAATTATTAGATTCGTTCCATGATTTATTCCATGACTGAGAATGCATTGTGAATTAGTTGGTTTTACTACTTACTATATGCTATATATCTACATATTATTATTACTGTGAATACATTGTGAATTACTTGGTTTTACTACTTACCATAACCTATATATCTATATATATTATTATTGTTAGGGTATGTGGCACTGCGACCGTCGGGTCCAATTCTGAGTTTAGAGTAGGTAAAACCACTTTAAAGAGTTTTATTGCTTCTACCTTAAGAATATTCATTCCCAGGAACCTATTCCGTATGTGCATTAACACAGGATTCTGATTTATTCTAAGAGTTAGCTTTTTAAATATTTGTGCATTCTACTTACTCTCTCACAGTACGTTACCTTCAGCATATGATCTCAGATCGTGAACGTCACTATTATTGCCAACTATTTTTTTTTAACTTTTATTTGAGAAAATAAAAAGTCAGTTGAAGTTTTTATTAACAAAATATATATTTTTTATTTTAAGAAATGTTCATATAAATATTAATTAAAATAGTAATAGTATATTTTAATTGATTAAAAGAGAAAATTTAAAAATGCTAGTTAACAAATATTTACATATGTACATACATAAATAAAAGCATAAAATTGTTTGAAAAAATATTATTAATTAAAATTCGTATTGGAATAATTATTAATTGATTATGATTAAAGTAGTAAGAACAATTTGGTGCAAAGTAAATGAATGTCAGGCTCTATAGTTGTACAAATATCTATAACAGGCACAAATCTCAATCAAAGAATCTCTCCAAATAAAGAAACCAATTAGAGACGAATTAGATTTAAAAGTGTTCAAAATAAAGATCGCAAACAGGCCCTTAGCTAGTTATTTACTTCAAGAGGAACCTACAGATTTAAAACCGAACAATTTGAGAAGTAAGATAATGGTTCAACTATAATATTGCAGTGAATCGAAATTATTGCAGGCATATGTCGGTCTATAATGTGCAATTTCGTTTCCTGGTAGAGTTTAAAAATCTTTTGAAGATAGAAAGTGATCTGTCAACGCTAACTATTATGATTGATAGAGTAGCCAAAATCATATGGGGATTATATGATTGTCAGAAAATAAGTGCTGATAGTCTTCAAGATTGTATTGCTTCAGTGCGAAAGGGGTTTAGGTCGCCAAGTTTCTCCCTTGTCTATGCGCCTGGTTAAGCAAAGGATGTTTATAAGCTTTTCTATTAATCATTAGTTGTATCTGTAGAAGCCTTTTAAATGATTCAAAGTCTTAAGTAGAACCTTTTGTTCCATGAAGAAGAAAAAGAAGTAGAAAGAAAATAATACTATTGGAATAAGTTGAAAAGTAAGTAGAGGAAGAAGAAGAAAATGCTGTTGAGTTGTTATACAATATATAGATTTTATTATCAAGTATTCGAAAGAATTAAAGTTAAAACGGCAGCTGTTAAGTATCTGCAATGGAAGAGTTCCATTGATATTTTTTATTATGAAGCAAAATTATATTGAACATAACTGAAACTTAACTGAATGAATTTTTTTTTAATTTTCTTTTTAATAGTGTGATGCTTAAATATACTAAATGAAACTATTTCATATTTATAAACTAAGAACCTTATTATCATGTTTTTTTTTTTATTTTGTTAGGTTAAAAATTTATTACTTTAAACACTCATGTAGATTTACAAATGCAAATAGTATGAATGTACACATCAATATTAGTATCTAATTTATTTATATTTATTTAACATCGGTTTCCTCCGACGAATTGAAATTGGAGACATAGCTTGTATGTTTTATTTTATCCAATGATTGGTCCTTAGGATAGATAGAAACTACCAGTTTGCAGTTAATTGGAATAGAAATTTCTTGACATGTCTTTTCTCGTTATTTTATCTCCATAGTGTAAACCTCCAGTTTCGAGTAAACTAATATTAAAATGTCTCACCATCAGTTCGTTTGATTTTTTCCATCACTACCACGCTGGTCCTTAAGAAAGATAGACTCTACCAGTTGAAAGTTAATTAAGTTGGACATTTCTTAACATGATCTTATTCACATTGTTTTGCTTTAATTCTTTGATCCTTTAGATAGATATTTAGATAGACAAGTAGTACGTATGTAGTTAACTAAAATGGCAATTTCTTGACATGATCTTATTTCCGCTGTTTCATCTCAATCGTTAGTTCTTAAGATATAAACCACCAATTGACAGTCAAGTAAGATGGATAGTTCTTGACAAAATCTTATGTGCCTTATATCATCACAATCGCTGGTCCTTAAGAAAGACAGAAGCTTCCAGTTGACTGTCAACTAAGATGGACATTTATTGACATGATGTAATTTGCTTATGTAATCGAATTCGAAGTTCCTGACGACAGGTACGACCCACCAGTCTTACCTGGAATTAGGTATAATAAAAATTTTGCGTCATGTGTTTTTGAACTCTTAAGGTGAGACCCTCCAGTTTAAATTAAACTTAAATTGAAATTTCTTGTCATGATTTTTTTCTTTATTTTTATCTATAATGTTCTCTGAAGATATGTAAGAACTTTCGGAAATTACTTGCCAAGTTTGCTTGTTCTAATTCAGTCGTTGGCTTTTAAGTTAGGTAAGACCCTTCAGTTTAGAGTTAACTAAAATAAAGGTTTCTTCTTTCGCTTTATTTGTATCTATGATTTGCTCTTAAGATATATAAGAACTTCCATTACAAAATTAACTTTGTTTCAGCTCAATCGTTTGGTTCTTATGTTAGGTAAAATCTTTAAATTTTGAAACTTTTATTTAGTTTTGAAACTTCTCGTTATGTGATCGTTTGGGTTATTTTATCGCAGTAGTCGATCCTCAAGATAGTCAGTAGCCTTCAGTTTATTATAAATTCAATTGGAAGTATCTTAACATGATTGGATTTTTGTTGTTTGCGTTGTATTATCTCAATAGTTTTAGTCAATTCTTTAAATCAGTAATAATTTCCAACTCGCATTTGGGTGAGACTGAAATTTCTCTCCATGATTTAATAAAGGAACAACGATGTGATGTGGATAGAACATTATTATAATTCTCGTGTACACTGCAATATATTTTTTTTTACAAATATAATGTAGTATAGTTTATTATGACTAATTACTTAGGTTTTACTTTTTATAAAATATTTCAAATAAATATACCATACTATATATGAAAGTATTATAAAAGATGTGTGTGTGTGAAATAATCAAGTCATTTATTTCCTTTGCAAGTATATTCTTTAAGGATACTTTAATTATTAAATTTAAATAAAAATATTAACGAATTTATTAGTATATTTTAATTCATAATAACAGTTTTAAAAATTTTACTTCAAAAAAGAATTAAAATATTATTTTTTTATTTTTAATTTTTAGGTACTGGTACATTTTTGTTGTTGTTTTTTTTTATTTTAATTTTAATTTTTTTGTTTTTGTTTTTGTTTTTTTGTTTTAATTTTTTACCGCTTTCTTTTCTCAATCACAGCGAAACCGGATAAATATGTATATATGCTGTCGTTTTGTGCCACTTCAGTGAATAGGAAAATGTACAAACTAGTAAATAGTATAGTAAAGATTTAATTTCGTTAATTATATATAACAGATGCTTATCGCCAAACACACTGACTACACCTACAAGAAACGAGAAGACATAAACAAAAAAAAAAAAAATAAAAAATCAAATTTAATAAATGTATCTTAAGCATTTCATTTAAAAATATGGGCCGCTATAGCCACAGCTACCTACTACTCACCTATGTTGGCGTAAATTGTCGCGTTGTTTAAAGTATTTACCGCAGACCTCGCAAGCATACGTTATTTCTGGTGATTTATGTGTACGCTCATGTATCATCAAGTTATATGGTTTCGTAAAGCGTCTTTGACAGAATTTACATATGAACTCACACTTCGGACGCATTTTGCGGCGGAAGTCCGACCGGCAGTCGTCGTTGTCGATTCTCATAACAGCAAACATTTTGATGTGTTTTACCAAATAAAATTCTGATTGCTTCACGTACGTATTACTTATAGGTGTGTGTATCTATCTATCTAAACGTTCCAGCTCAGTAGCTTTCAAATAGAGAGAATTTTATCGAAAAACACCAACGAATGTACATATATAGAGAGTTCGTTCTTTCGGTTATCGTCCTATTCCCGCTACTAGCCTCCGAGCCACCGATTTGAATGTACTTGTTTTGGGCTTTCGAGAAATCAAGCGATAAGATACTCAATGCTTTTCACTGCTTTTTTCTTAAAGCATTTATTTGGATTTATTACTGATTTATTATATTTTTTATAGCGAACTTTTCTACGTGTGTTGTTCTAAGTAGGTGTCAATTTAAATGGTAGCACTGAAAAAAGACAAAAACACAAAAAGAAACAAATTATGTGGGTATTTTCTAGACATTCAAATAGATACATATGTATAGGTAGTTATTTCACTTAACCAAAAAATTATATAGTCATTATATTGTCATTTAATCATCTATTGAATTTTTATAGTTTTCCATATCTAAGATAGACGTAATGTACTCGTGTATACAAGTGTTGAGATATTTCGAGACGTCTAAATAGATATGTAAGTAGGTATGAAAGTAATTTCAACAACATATAAAAAAAAATTTTAAATAATAATAATAAATAAAAGTACAATTCGATACTTCAAAAACTAAATATATTTCGATAAACTTATATCAGTACAGGAATATAATCCTTCTATTAAAGTTATAGATTCTTTCATGTCTAAGGTAACATTATTTTCAAACTTTTAAATATTCGTATCTAAGAAATTTTGAACAAAAAAAAAAGAAATGATAAAGAAGCAACAATTCATAATTCCAAACAATTAATATATATCAATAATCTTATACCAGTGCACAAACCATCCAAAACCAATGTTAGACTGACCAATCCTTACATATGATTTGGAGAAAAATAGATCCCAACGTCTTATATATATAGTTTAATAAATACGAAATTGAAAAAAAAAATTGAAGTACAATTCATAATTCAAAACAATTAATATATACCAATAAACTTATATTAGTGCACAATCTATCCAAAACAAAGGTTAGACTTTCGAATCCTTTATATGAATGTGGGATAAACACCTGCCAATGCTTTATATGTGATAAAACGTAATATTAAAGGAAAAATACAAATCTTGATGCCTAAATATAATTCAGTAAAAGATTATAAGAAAAATAGCAGGTTTTATTCGAAATGAACGTAGATCATATAGTAAGTGAATCATTCTTAAATCCCGACGACTTATCTAAATTACATAGCAGTAATAATATTTTTATATATATAATTAAAAACCTGCCGATTCTCTTAAGTGAATCCATTAATATTGTAGTCTTCCATATGTTAATTGCGTTATTTATATTCACCCAAAAAATCGGAAGTAGTTATTTCCTCCTCTCATCTTTTCTAGCAGTGGAAATTCATGTCAATTTTGCTGTAAAATGGTATTGAATATGAGCTCGAGATATTTCAAAAATGTATGAATCTAAATTAAAAGCATTATTGACATGTTTTCATTAAATTTTTAATAATTTTAACCATAATTTGAAGAATTGAATAACCAGCTGTTGATTGAAAACAATTAGAGAGAAATAATGACTCACAGTACTTCTTCAAAAAACATTCTTAAAAAGTCATAACTCAATGGTGCCCGAGACAAAACTGAGCATATTATAAGTTCCTGAAAGACAATAAAAAAGCTGAATTGAGTTACAGGGCTGAGGTGCCAGTCAAACATGCTGGTATATATATAAATATTAGATATATCCTTTAACTAATGTTAGAAAAGACAGATGACTAAGCCTTAGCTTTTGAAAAATAATAAAAAATTGTGGTCTTTCTAGTACGTAATATTGATATTAGCAATAGAATAGCTGTAAATTTAACACACCTATTGTGTATTGTAGAAAAAACGCGATACGATGGAGGAAGACGCCTCCAACTAGCTTCTAAAGCGCTTTTCGAAACCGAAAAATAGCGTGTGAATAACGACTGACATTTCAGGAGTAAGTGGAAGGAATGTTTATAAATAAAAATAATAATTATAGTCGAAATAAAGATATTAGAGCATAATTTTTATCTAACATTTTAGAGCACAATTCGTTATGGATAAAGAAATATAAATAAGGATAACGAATGTTAGGCAAGAACAGAACTAGATATCTCAGATATTTATTTTTTATAAATGAGATCAATATATTTTTATACATATTCTTCCTCAAAAGAATGTAATTAATTAATAAAAATCTAAATTTAAAAAAAATAATTGATACATATACATACAATATATACAAATATATGCCATATACCGTCAAAGATCCATTTTGCGATAGCGTTTCTAACGAAAGTGATAATATTAACATGATAAAAACTATCGCGAAAATAATAGAAAACCATGGATTGAATCCAATTTGTCCTACTTTTAATAAAGATAATTAGAGTATCTACGGCATAAAAGATATTACACGGGTAAAGCATATTCGAGACTTTCTTGAAAAAATTGAAAACCCATGCCATTTCGTATTAACACAGTTCTCAAGATTTCGATAATTTTTCTATAGTTTTTCTATAGTTTGAAGACTATAATAAAAAGTAACTTTTTTGATTTTTCTCTTATTGCTTTAGAAGTACTTCCCAAAAATTACCTGGGTAAGGTGTCGTTAAAAAATTCAAGCAAATTTAATACAATATATAACTTTCTTGTTAAGTTTTTACTTTTGCAATTTAGTTAAATAGTAAGAAACTGGTATATTATTTTTATTAATTGACTATAGAAGATACTATACTTAATAAAGCAGAGAATACATCACAACAATGCTATTGATATGAGCTCTATGCCCAAAAACGACAAAAATTGTAGCATAGTACAAAGCTGGCATCAGAATAGATACTACAGACTTAGATCACCTTCGGAATACATTATTGCTGATTATTATTTCACATAAGTGGAATGCTAGAAGCAATTCAGAAAGAAACATCATATAGTGAAAGTACCAACGACAGATGTCTGTGCCTTACTGGTAATATATAAGTACATATAAAAGTCTTGAACTAAAATGTTGCTTAGATGTCTTTACAATGAAATTGTAGGATAATCAATACTAACTTTACAGCCTACTTCCTTCAACAGAACGAAAGTATGTTGTGATTTATTCTGAATAGAAAGTTAACATAACTAAATAGGTATGATCTCGCAGTTAGAAATGTAGTTTTAAAAAAAATGTAAGTTTTCTATATAAATCAGACACATTCTATAAATATAGGGTACAGTAGATTTGCTAATGAGATTGTAACTCATTAAAGGAACTTCGACTATTTACAGATATGTTCCTGATCAGCATGACAGAATGCATCAATTTAGTGTTATTTATTATTGTTTCGGTCTGACTGTATTGTCATTCTGCTGATCTCTCGTCTGCTTCACTCCTGCCCATCTGCCAGTCTTCATATTCATATATATATATATATATATATATATATATATATATATATATATCTTAAACGATCTCTGCACGACTTTTGTCTGTCTGTTCATTTGTCTGTATATCTTATTTTTTTTAACGCATTGTATATGCATCAAAATCATATTCCAATGGAAGTTTTTAACAGTCTTAACATTATCCAAATATCATCGCATATCCTTCCCGTTTTTTCCCGTATTATTCGTCGGAATTTATCACCTGGATATGTATATCTGCATGTGTTATTATCTGTCTGGTTGTAAGTATCCAGTACTTTCTTAGCAAAATATTTAAGAAAGTACAAGAACTTATATACTTCGGAAAAAAGTTAAATTTTAAAGTTGATACAAAAGCAGCAATAAACGATCAAATTCATGCTGCGAACAGAAGAAACTTCTATTCTGTGTTTGAACAGAAAAGTCTTGAAACCGTAAACTTCTACAAGATAATAAAAAATTTATATGTGTTAGACACTAATGTACCTAATTCTTACATATAATCCCTAGATTGCATATATACTTCAGCGTATATATAACCCAGTGCAACTGCATGATCAAATTTATCATATCTGGTACCATCATTTGTTCGATTACATTTCAGTAGAGGAGAATCTGATGAAACATCTTAGAGCTCAACATTTAACATAGGAAATGGAAGTACGAAAAATAGAACCCATGGAAGAGGAAAAATAACCACTTACAAGGACATGAGTTGGCGGGGATGAAAAAGGTAAGAGTAGGAATAGATGATGTTGTAATAAGTGATCATTATAAAATGTATGTTTATGATAGAAGAGGTTCCTTATTAGACAATTTAAAGTTCAATGCATTGGTTAAAGTAGCTTCAGTCTATTAAGTAGTGCAATATTAGTAAAAAAAGATGAGAAAGACGCATTGTAATGTTAGAAAGAATGATTTATCTTTTCGTTAGGAAGAGTTTAATTAAATACTAGTTACAATGTTTAATATTAATTCTAAATATAATTAACTTTTCTTTATGAGAATTTATTTAACTAAGATCTAGAATAATTGTTGAATAGTAGAGCTAAGTATAAAAATATATTAAGCAATAAATTTTAAATATTCTTTATGAATATTTAAACAATTTAATGAAAGATATTTTTGGAGTTTTGAAACCTATGATGGTAAAGAAGATAAAGATATGTTTACCATATTTAAAATACCTGTAAAGTAGTATGGGCTCTGATACTCGTACTTTAGTGATTAGTCTTGATGTTAACGTAAAAAGAATGTCTATTTTTTTTTATTAATTAAGTCTTTAATTAAATGGATTGTAATATTTTCGTTGGATTATAGGACTAAAGATATTTGAATACGAATGAAATATGTTTCATTTTTTCTTCGAAAACTGATCTTCCTACAATTAATGTGAGATATTGATAATCACTTGAGATATACATATGGAACAGTTGTTAGCGTTAATGCACTGAGAATATCGTATGGCTTTCATTTACTGATTCCTTTTTTTTCATAGAGCGAAATGACTAAAATTCTTGAACGTAGTACTTCTTGAGATATATACTGCTTAATTTCAATTTTTACGTAAAAGCATGAGTTTAATTTTGTCATTAAGTTTTTAATAACATGGATTGCAACATTTTCCAAGAGTTGTTGGATAAAGTTGGAACAATGCAAATAAAATATATAATTTACGTTTGTTCAGGAGAACATAAATTACCTCCCAAAATTCTCATATTATTATTATGGTTTTTACATTTTTTGACTCATATTTTTTTGAGAAATCGATTTTTCTACTATTCTTGAAGAGTTCTATTTCTTGAGGTAGAATAGAAGTTAATCTCAATGCTAACATTCAGGAATGACTATATTTCCATTTTGTTTTATATT